CAACCATTCTGAAACCAGAATTGATGCTGTTGCAGAGACTCAGTCGTTGTCACAAGAAGAACACAACGTCTTGTGTCCTCAATTCCAGATCCCTGGAACTTCCTTAACAAAAAGGAAACAAAAGAAAAATGATGTTCGCCAAATACCAACGTCCATCATCCATCCTTGAACTACAAAAGAACTGTTCTAAAAAACTCTGTAAAACCCGGATGGGTGGAACCTGATCTGAACTATATTTTATGATTGGATAAATTAAATGTTTTACCAATGTAAAGTATTTAATATTAACCAATCATGATCCATCTAACTAACAACCCACTTATTTGTAAGTGCTGAAGTTACTTGTAATTTCAGCACCAGAGAGATTTGAATTTAACTTAGAAATTAGTTGGACTCTCCCGAGCACTTCAGCAGCCGCAATAAACCAGTATACCCTAGATCTATTGAGCCTAGCAGAGACTAGTTAAACAACCTGAGACTAGATAGTATAAGAGTAAGATTAGGATCGGTATTAGACTAAGAAGTTGCACGAATCTATCCGGCCGAAAATAAGATAGCGTGACGAGCAGACGGTGTACCCTATCCGAAATTACTCTATGAGTTATACACACCAGTCATAACTCAACTGACGAAAAAGTCAAATTTAATGAATATCTGTCAATGAGAACTCCAGAGAGCACCCCAACTTTTCCAATTTTCCCATGGTCTTCACTGGTTGTTCAACCAAACTCATACTAGCATTCCTCTACCCTTTTCTCCCAATGAAAGCCAGATATGTGATTCAACCCATCAATTCACGATATCCCTAGGAATTCAAGGAGTTTGTCCTAAATACCGGGACTAACGGATTTGAAGTCACTACGGCTCTATGTACTGCGACTGTCGGATAAAGTAACTGGATCCAGTAATGGAAACTGAATTCAAGATGGTCCTGGAACAATAAACACAGTTTATTTGACTCATTCACAGTCTAGATCTAACTTCGAGAAAACACTTCGATTGTTATCAATTAATTTGGCTTTAACACTTTCGATTAAATGACATAAATTGCACTAATTTCCATTACTACAGCCAAGGACATGTCTGTGATATCCAGATGGAATGACTAAAATGATTAATGTAATACGTTGTCTTATCTGGCTAGTGCGGTATTACACACCCATGGAACCTAAACGAATTTATTTGATTTCCGAGACAAAATTAATCCGCTTTAATTAATTTCGTTGAGTTTATTTTCTTGACATATATAAAACTCAAACCAAAAGAGTCGAGTTCTTTGCCGTTATCCTCATTCAATTTTTTTTAAAAGTGCTTTTTGATCCATTATAATTAATTATGAGCCTTTATTTTTTGCACTGAAGTTTTTGTTACTAGAGTAATTCAGTATAATCGATTATTTGTCTAATAAAAATCCCTTTAATCCATTATAATCGATTATTATCCATCTTTTGTTTCGGAACTGAATTTGATTATTTTCAAATTTTTTTGCAAATTTAGCAAGAAATTTGATCAAGGCATACCATGTCTTTATTAAATTCCATGTCATTTCTGCCCTGTAAGACTTGTTTTTTTTTGCCATGGTTACTAAAAGTCAACCAAATTCACTCCCCCCAGCCTACAGTTTACCCCCTCCAGCAGAGAAACTCTACCCCCAAAACAGGTAGTAATTAATCATTGTAAGCCTCACCCTCCTGTTTTCCCCCAACTAAGGGGGGGGGGGGAGTAAATGTTGGGAAGTTCAATCGTTATTCCTTGCTCCCCCATCTCCATATCTCTACCACTAGATGAATTCCCCCTTTCAAGCATAATTTTTCTAAAATCATATCAAATATGAATCATTAAAAATGGATTATAACCCTACTGTTTTGTTACCAATATAAACCATTATGATCGATTATTTTTAATTATTAGGGATTTTCAGAGAGGTTATTGGTAAATTTAGCAAATTTTGCAATTTTTGTAAGTTATCTCATTTTTTGTTTTATGCAGTTGCTACAGATTACTTCTCATAAATGTGTAGTTTTCACATAAAATTTTTAGATATTTAACTTTCTCTATTTTGTCATTTTTGCCGTTAACATTTTTAATCTCTTATTTAACCTCGTCTATGTAAAAAAAAGGTCATTCACCCACTAAATCTTCTGGGCTGAAAATTGGGGGCGTGAAGTAGATGAGGTGGTGATGGTAGGGTAGGTGGTGGTGGTACGGGATGCGGTTGGGGTAAAGTGGGGGGGGGTTTGAACGTTTTTGAATTTTTTAATAGAAGGGTGGGCGTGAAAGTAGGGACGAATATCAAAAGTTGAGGGAGTTGCTGACATAAACTTAGATGAACATGCTACATCAAGTTCTTATTTTGCTGAGCGTTGATTTAATAATGTTTTGTTGTTTGCAGATAATTTACAGAAGTTATATGTGCAAATTTCTCAACCGAAATTTAAAAGAGTTTTAGCTGTAAAAATTTTTTGCCGAAAAATGGTTTTAATAGATTTTTGTTTTTTAAAAAGTCATTTGTATTGACAAAATAATGGTTTATAATGAATTTTAAAATATTGAAAACAATCGTTTATAATCCTCTAAAAATCCATTTGCATGGTTGGATGAGAAAAGAAAATCGATTATATGGTTTAAGGTTTTTGCCAATACAATCCTTACAAACGCTTAAGTTCCAGTGCGGAAAGACCAACTAGTTTGCACAATCCACAGCATAGCTTTGCCTCAATTCAGTTCAGCCGATTTTGTAGGGTGGGGTAGATCGCCACGCGTAAATAATGCGCGAAACACTTACAGCATCAAAATATAAAATGAGTAAATTTGCTAGCTTCGAAAAAGTTATTAAAGTGGCATGGGAACTTGGCGGGGACCACGAAGATGCAGAGATCGATCCCACAAGAGACTTTTTTTGAAGCTTGATCTGAATACATACAAAAAACACTTGGGCATATC